GTGGAAAAGTCTAGAAACTTGGAGGATCAAAATTTATCATTTTCCTCCCAAATTTGGCCAACCTAGAGTATTAATTAATTCTGAATTCCAGTAAAAATTATGGCAAAAAATAAGCAAGGTGAAAAGGTTAAATAAAAGGTGAATAAATGGCTAAAAATTGGGACAAATGCAAATGAATGATTGAAAATTGAATTAAGGGCTAAGATTTTCCCACATTATGGGTGGAGATGAGATCAATAAGTTCACAAAAGTTCATATAAATAGGGGTGCTGAAAAAATAAAAAGGGGAAGAAAAATTGAAAAACACAAAAGAAACGCTTACAAAACTTAAAAATCACCTAAAACATTTTTATTAAATTCTATCCACCTCTAATCAATGGAAGAAGCTTGAATTTTAAGTGGAAAGTCAAAAATCTCAAGGGAAAAATTCAAAAATCAAATTCAAAATTTAGAGGAAAAGAGGAGGAAGAGAAATCCTTCACCAATCTACCTTTTTTTAGTCTAATTGGAGCTAAAAAAAGTAAGTTAATCTCACCTACACCACAAGCATACTTAATTTCAAGTCAATTTCATTTTTAATTGCTTGATTTGATTTAATTGCTCAATTAAGAAAAATTACGGTTAGGGTTCTTGATGAACCAAATTTTGGGGTTTTGAATTCTTTCATTTAATTGGTGTTTTGGCACTTGATTCCGACTTATTTGAGCATGAATTAATGTTTAAGAATGAAAATTTTCACTTTAATTGAAGAAAAATCCACTAATTTTTAGGAATTATATTCGGCCTAAACTAAGCAAATTAGGGTTTGAGTTCAAAGCAATTTGATTCTGGTTTGATGGGTCATTCACACTTGAATAAGCATGTTTTGATGAGTAGAAATAAAAAATTTGCTAAAAATTGAAGAAATGGGCTTTATGGGCATGGGCCTAATTTCGACCCATTAAAGCCCAATACGGGTTTGGACCAGATTTTGGGTCCCAAATTTAAATTAAATTAATTCCTATAGTTTTTACATATCTAGGATACTTTGTGTTAAAATAGTGGGACAAAATGAGGAGAAAATGTTAGGATTTTAAAGAGGTCAAGTTTAGGCCTAAATGTGAATTTTGAGGAATTTGGTTTAAACCAAGTTTTAAACCTTAAATTTGATGATTCGGACTAAAAAAATAGTAAAATGATGGTTTAGAATGAAAAGGGCTCAAAAAAATTTAAAGAAAAATTGGGTCTTAGGCCCATTAAGACCCAAACCAAAATTGAACCTCCTAAATCAATGAAATAATACCTACTTAGGTTGGAACATGAAATGATACTTAATTTGGTAAACATCAAATATGGAAAGATAACTAAGGTCCTAATGAAAAAAATTTAGGAAAGTAAAGTAAAAGGTAAGTTCAATGAACAAATAAATGGAACAAAAATGTTCATCTTCCTTTATGTTATGGTCATGTTCTTTCAAATGCTACATGAATGCATTAGGTTATGAATAATGATTATGCTTGAATGCGATTGATGATGAGAATTGGGTTATGATGATTGATGTGCCAATGATGGTTGTATTGGGTTATATTGGATTGATGTTATCTATGTTGTTATGCTGCCCAATTTTATATCGATTCTTATGACTTGGTTACATAACCATTCTAAGTAAGCATTCATGAATTCATACGACTTGTTAGTTCATTGCAAATTGCATACGCATGCTTAGCTCATGAATAATGTTTTAAGTTATGGAAATATATTTTATGTCATGGTTATCCGATAGCAATCGAATGATTTTAAAGGAAAAGATTTCCATGACTTTGAGGTTTTGAGGAAAGGACTTCATGGGTTTTTCATACGGTGATGGTAATGGTTCATGGCCGAGCAAGCGCGAACGTGCACTTTTAGAGGCTCGGTAGGGCTCGTCCATGGACGGGTCCGGTTCGCCGGACATATGTGATGAAAACCCCGAAGTACCTAAATGGGACGTGTCCAAAGACGAGAAAAAGGATTTTCAAACTGTTTATGAAATGTTTTATGACATAAGAAAAAAAGATTCATTATGCATATAAGTGTTTTATGCATACATACACATGTAACATACACTATATGCATATGTTAACTTATTGGGTTGTAGTTCATATGGTTCCTTATGGTGTAGATAAATAAGATACTACGGCTCACTTCTCTGCGAAGTTGACTACCGAGGGAGGCATCGGACGCATGTAGCTTGGATGAGAGTTTGGCTTCCGGATAGACCTATTGCACGAGTAGTTGACATAGAATCGATCATGTATGTAAATAGTTAAGGTGTGTAACCGAATCAATAATAATAAATAATAATATCATAGTAATAGTATAATTATTTTAAATTATCCACTACATATTGACATGATTAGAAGTTTAGCAAACATGTAGAATGAAATAAATTAAAATAAAATATCATGATAAATAAATGTGAAAAATTTATTGCAAAGTTGAAGTAAGAAATAAGACTCGAACGTCATTAAAAGATTTTTACCACGTAAATATCATTACATATGTTACAATAAGATCATAGTGTCTTGTTAGCTTACATTCATTGCACTTCGAATGTGACTAACGATGGTAATATTCTCAACTTATTAGGTCCTAGGTTGGGGATGTTACAAAATGAAAGTTTTCTATTTTAAAAATCAGTTTTATAATTTAAGAATATTTATTTGGATAGTCTAAATAAATTAATTGGGTTAAAATAGTTTTGGCCCATTAGGTTTAATTAAAAACCTTAAGATATTTTGGTGGGAGGATAAATATCAACCTTATTGGATAAAGTTGAATGTTTTAAAGATAAACATCAACATTATTGGATAATGTTGAATGTTTTAAAGATAATGATACAATAGTCTATATAGAAAATAACTCCTCATCCTTGGAGGATAAGAAAGTAACAACTTAAAGTCCTAAAAGGACTTGTTGTCGCCTCTCTCCTTGTCCTTGGAGGACAAGGAAACTCTCCCTCAATAAATAGGAGGAGAGGTGCGCCATAAAGGAGAATAACGAACTTAGAGAGTATTCGACCAAGTTTGAAAATAATAAAGCAACATTCGAGCCTAGGAATATAAAAGGAGCAAAGTTTTGGACAACCCTAAAAAATAATAGAGGGCACACGAATAAGAGAAAAAAATAAGGAGAAAATAGTTTTCTCCTAAACCCTAACAAACTATACTCTTTTCTTCTTCTTTAAGGTTGTCGTAAAATTGCCCGGGATTGATTTTTATAGGAAATACTAAATCGGAAAAGGTGGAGCTAGCACCCCATTGATTGTGAGTGCTTCCTTGTGGATACTTGGATCGTGTGGATCATCAATAAAGGTTGGACACTTAGACGACTTTTCGAAAAAGGAATTTAGATCTATGCTACAAGAGATGATCCTTTACTTATAGCTTAATATTCATGTATGTATGATTAGTAGATTTAACGAACTTGATCTTGAGCTCTTAAATGGAGGAAATTTTTTTGTTATTTTGCACCTCCATAGGATACATGATCCTTCATCAACTTGAGAAAATGCTAAGGAATTGCAAAATAGGTTCATGACCTTGACCTTAAGGACAAGGTCCTAGTGAGAGAGAGAGGTATTGATAAGCCAAGACTTTCTCAACGCATTCCTATTAGAAACCCAAGATACGTGTAAGGGAGTGGTTTTGTTATTCAATTATGCTAGTTTTCAATTAGTTGTTGGTCTTGAATCTAGGAATAGTAGTTAAACTTTATGTATTTAAAACTCTTTGAAATTTAATAAAGAAGGCAAGCATATTTTATCCAAACTCTATGGCTCATTCTCACCCTAAGAGAATCCTACTTAGTTAGGCAATTGTGAATCCTGTTTAGTTAGGCAATTGTAATTTAACTTTGATTGACACCTATCATTAAACGTGCAAAATGAAGTTCATGGGCCTTTTGAATATGCTATATAAAATAAAAATATTTTCACAATACACATCATGTAACAATTAAAAAGCCATGACTATATTAAATTAAATACACTTTAAATGATATATATATTCTTTCAATTTTAAATAGATTGTAATTTTTAACTTTTCACACATAATAATATGAACTTCTTTTATCTATAACTTTTTCAAATGTCCTTTTTGCTAGTTTGAGTATTTTAGAAAATTATACTATTTAAAATTTTGATAATTCAAATATTTTAAAATAGATATAAATAAAAAAACAATTTCTTTAAAATCGAGAAATTAGTTATTTAAGTGGAATTACCATAAATAGATGCTTACCTTACCATTATTTTAATATCAAGTAGAAATAATTGATACTAGTAATTATTTATTAAAACTTGGCATACTCCTATATATATATATATATATATATATATATATAAACTAGTATTTCATCCATTTAAATTATCTAAATTAGAGAAAACAATAAATTAGATAGTTTGTGAATTTTTTGCTTTCAAGGAATTCAGAAAACAACTTTTGAAATATTACCCAATACTTTATTTTATTGGATTCCGGGGAACGAGCTCGAAAGCTTAAAAAACAAGAAAAAAGAAAAAACACACACACACACACCCCATTGGTAAATTAAATTCCAAAAAACTCTACGGCCAGGATAGCTAAAGCCGGAGCAGGTGTAATGTCCTTCGAGAAGGTCTTAGAATAACTCATATTCCAAACGGACAGCAAAACAAGAATTGGTCTCCACGAAATCCACAAGGAACCGACAGCCTCTCAGACAGCTTATGACTAAGATTAGGAGCAGATTTAATAAAAAATATGAATGCTACCTTTTTTTGAAAATCAAAATTATTAAATTTACGCGGGGGTTCGTAACGGCGTTTTCATTACTCAGGCAGTCAAGAAGTAACGGCGAATGTGTACAGTCTGAAGAAATTCTTTTAAGATTGAAGCATAGTTAACTGCGCGAAATCAACGCTTTCTTGTTCCGTAGCAATCGATTAAAAAAAAAAGCACAATTTATTACTGCTATTAATTAGTTTTAGGAAAAGAGAAAAAATGGCCATGGCTGGATTGTACCGTCGTATCCTCCCTTCTCCTCCTGCCATCGATTTCGCTTCCGCCGAAGGAAAGGTAATCCTTTTGCTGCTATTTATATGTTCCTTTTATTTTTATTTACTAGCAATTAGTGAAAAATTAGGGTTTTGTGTGAGACTATCTAGTGTGTGTTAGGATTTAGAAGTGGATCTTTTGATAGTCTATTTGCTGAGTTGAATATAATGGAGTAGTTGAGAACTTAGTTTGTACTGCAAACTGTTTTTATAATTTTTTTTTTTAATCCTTGTAATGTGTGATTTTTTTTTTTTTTTTTATGATTTATATTTTGCTAATCAGTTCAAATTTTGGATTGCAGCAACTTTTTATTGAAGCAATTCAAAATGGAACGATGGAAGGTTTTTATAGGTTGATTTCTTACTTCCAGACGCAATCGGAGCCTGCATATTGTGGTTTGGCAAGTCTATCTATGGTCCTGAATGCCCTAGCTATTGATCCTGGGAAGAAATGGAAAGGTAATTTCTATTTATAGTTATTACTCGTGGTAGATACATCTTTTCATAGATTGGTTGGTGTTATTATAATTGCAGAGTATGTGTTAAAAAGTGGTCTGTTACTTGCAGGACCTTGGAGGTGGTTTGATGAATCTATGTTAGACTGCTGTGAGCCTTTAGAACAGGTTAAAGCTAAGGGTATATCATTTGGGAAGCTGGTGTGTTTGGCTCACTGTGCTGGGGCTAAAGTTGAAGCTTACCGAACAAATCAAAGCACCATAGATGACTTCCGTAAACACATTATGAGATGTTCAACTTCTGATGATTGCCATTTGATCTCGTCTTATCATAGAGGAACCTTTAAACAGGTATTCATCTTTAAGTTGATTGAATCCTTTTCACATTTCTTTACTTCCTAATGAACCCAGATAGTCATGCTATGTTAAAATTTTTGCTTCAGTCGTTAAAGATTTAGTGGCAGAACAGGGTGGATCATTGCCTCTGATGTTTTCATCATTTGGGTGTGTAATACGAAAAATAACACTGACATTGTTATTTTCGTTGATAATTTCATTGCTTATATGGCGTCAGAAATGAATTTAGTGTTCCTGAACTAATTTAGCTCAAGAAGTTTACAGGAACTACTTTTTCTTTTTCTTTTAATAATTTCCAGACAGGAAATGGCCATTTTTCACCTATTGGTGGTTATCATGCTGGAAGGGATATGGCACTGGTTTTAGATGTTGCACGGTTCAAGTATCCTCCTCATTGGGTTCCACTTACACTTCTTTGGGAAGCAATGGATAGGGCTGACGAGACAACTGCACAACGAAGAGGGTATGCATTTTCGCTCAAATACAGCCTAAATTTGATAATTGGTGCATCACAATTAATTGAATGGTGAAAAGCCAAATTTGCTTTCAAATGGAAAGACAAAGTCTAAAAATTGTAGTTGTGCTGCAGGATTAATTTTTCATTGCTTCAGAAGCTGCTTGAGTGGATCCAATTTTAACAATTCAATTTGGATCCTAGAACTGATAACATCTCAGCTGGTGAAACTCATCGGGGGTGTTATATATGTTGTTTAATCCTTTTCTGCTTGACCACCCACACCTACTTGAAAATGCAGCTTAAAACGCGAGAATTGTAGATTCATTCTCCAATTTTAGTTTTGTCATACATGTACGACACCAATACAACGATCTCTGCCCTGGAGCTGGAAGTACCGAAACTGAATTAACTAATAGTTTTTTATTTCAGAAGAATTGCAAGAAATTGTTGAGGCAATCAATCCCACTGAAGTCCTCTACCTTGATATAATAGTGTGATCGATCTAAACCAAATAGTTTACTTTTCCTTTGCTCTCTGTTTTCTGGATTTTATCAATCTTCCTTTTCTGTTGAATGTTGATTGTCTATTCCAAGTTGGTGCACTTTCCATTATCTCTTTTCGTTGATACTTAATTTGTATGACACCGTCATTTCTCTATTTGCCTGTGTTTCAGGTTCATGCTAATATCGACTCCTCACACAGAACCAGGACTGCTTTATACCTTGGTACGATTATATTTAACGTTGGTGGCATTTATGATGCAAACTGCATTGCTGCTCACACACTCACTGCACTTCCATGGATAATTAGTTCCTTATAGTTTGGCCCTTCTCTCTACGCTTCACTATAGTTCTTTCTCAATAGTTTTTTTTTTTCGAGAGCAACTACTTTGCTTTCATTGTTCTTGTAGTGGAGGCTGAGGCGGAGCTAGAGTTTTAAAAAAGGAGGGGGGTTGCAATTAAACGAAAAGAAAAAGAGAGGGGAGGGGGGGGGGGGTGGTCATGACCCCTCACCCAAAGCCATAGCGCTGCCCTGAGTGGAGCTAAAAGGGGCAATTATAGATTTATCTTCTTGAAAGGTTGGAGGAAGTTAATGCTGAACAGAGTGCCTCACTGTGTTACCTTCAATGTTCACAACTATCTAAGATGTAAGGAACAGAACCATTGAGCATATACTGTGGTAGGTGAAACTTTTATATATGCTTGATGGTGGTCAACTTGGATGCCCTATCATACAATGTAAAGAAAAAATGAAGAAAGAAGAAAAGAATGACAGAAAGAAATTTCAAGAAGGCTACCACAGATAGTTTCAGAAACACTTTTAAAAGTAATCCCATCAATTCAGCTTTAAATGGAGCATGACAAGTTTTTTTGGATACACCATTTTGGTTCACTACAATTATGTGGAAGCATATGGCCTGGCATAGGGAGAAAGCTAGACTGAGTTTGTCTTTGACATGCACCGGCCTAGATTGTTCAGAATATCTGGTGTTATATTGTTTTGGAAAAGACTGGAGATGCCTGAAATTTTTGCTGACCTACATTGTCTTTATTCTGTAACAAATTTAAACCTTTGTGCAGAGCTGCAAGCATGAGAGCTGGGTTGGTGTTGCAAAGTATTTAATGGATGATGTTCCTCTTCTCTTAAAGTCAGAGGATGTAAAAGATATTAACCAAGTTCTCCATGCTGTTTTCTTATCGCTTCCTTCAAATTTTGGGGAGTTCATCAAGTGGGTTGCAGAAGTTCGTAGACAAGAGGATGGGGGTCAAAGTCTAAGCCAAGAGGAGAAAGGAAGGCTATCTGTCAAGGTGTTGCATAGCTTCATCTCCTTTCAGTTCTCTCTCATAAACTTGTGGGATGTTTGTCTGCAGTTTTTAAACTCTTTCCCTTAAAATTTTGAAACCCAACCTCTTGTTTTGGCAGGAAGAGGTGTTAAAACAGGTGCAAGAGACTGGCCTTTTTAAACATGTTGCGGCATATTTGTCTTCATCAAATTCATGTTGCAGAAACGTGCCAATTCTGGGTCAAGAAGATGATCTGCCTGACATTGCTGCACGTGTCTGTTGCCAGGGGGCAGAGATTTTGGCTGGGAAGTCTGGTTCTGTGGAAGGGTATTGCTGGAAGGAAACATGTGTGAAATGCTTGAAAGCTAACGGTGACAAGCCCATCACTTTGGTTTCTGGGACAGTTGGAGATGGTATCAGTGATCTGGGGCTTGATGTGCTGGTTCCTTCTTCTCAAACAAAACTGATTTGCTGCCGCTGTGATCCAAGCAGTCGCATTGGAATGTATCCGCCTGGCAACGATGTTTTAACAGCACTTTTACTGGCTTTGCCTCCAGAAACATGGTCTGGTATCAAAGAGGAGAGACTTCTGCAAGAAATATATGCTCTTGTTTCAACTGAACATCTCCCGAATTTGCTGAAAGAAGAGGTAAGAATAGTCTTTCTATTTTGTTCATTTTTCTTCAGTTGTCACAATCAGTAAATTGCTTGTAAGTGGTAGCTGTTCAAAATAAATGAAAGAAAATATATGAATTGTAAATACTGAAACCTTGATATTGACGTGTGTTTACTTGGAAAGCAGAAGCATGTTGCCCTATTTTCAAATGATCATGAGGATTGACAAAACTTGCAGTTCATCCTAAAGAAATGACCATTGGGTGTGATTACAATTCATACTGTTTGGTTTTTGTTGTTCTGTTAGTTGTATTTCTCACATGTTTGGCTGTGATCTGGATTTATGGATATAAAAGGAAAAACTTAGGTTCCAGACTTCCAATTTATTACCCTGATTGCAATGGTCATATGGTCATCAATGGTTTGATGCCTTCTGATTCTCTGTTCTTGGGTTAATTTCTAATCCGTTATTGTCCAATATGACCATGGCAGGTTTTGCATCTACGACGCCAGCTCCATCTCCTCAAAAGATGCCAAGAGAACAAGGTAGATGAAGATCTTGGCGAACCTCTTTCCTAGCATTTTCTTTACATGTTCTCTATAAATTCATTATCTTTAAGCCAAAAGTGTACCTACCCGTTGAAGATTTATAACCCGCAAAATCCCTAGGACAGAAATGACTTTGCGGAGGAGCTGCATTTGTGACCCAAAGACCAAAACTCATGGTGGGGAAGGCTTTAAGGGTTCCTGATGGTTCTAGAGCTTGAGATAAGATGCAAGAGTCATCTTTGGCTGACTGAATCTTGTTCAAAACTGCATCAATTAACATGCCAACTGATTAAGCAGGGCCCTGCCTGATATTGTGGAGTATTGCTCATCCATTTGCAGAGTCATTCAACGTTGGGTCACTAATAATTAAAGTCTTACTCATGATTATTTCCTAATAGCTTTTTGGTGATCTTTTTTACTTGAGACGTTTTCTGTAATAACCTGAAGTTTGTTCTTTTGTGTGTGCAAGTAGTGTGACTAACATTTCTAACAAGTCTGGCATTATTCTGAATGTCATTGAAACCTCAATCGAAGCAAATACCAAATGGTGGGGAATAAGTAATTGAAGAAATACCAATGGCAGGCTGCAAATTTTGCCTTATGCATATGCATAGCTTGTATGCCAAGCGTGTAAGAAATATTTGGCCTGTCAAATCCAGAAAGAGCAATTTGGTTCTATTCTAATGAAGATGAGGAGATGCCATTTTTTTTTTTTTGTTTTTTTTTCCCCCATCAAATTCGTCCCACATCAAAAAAATTATCAATCGGGTCCCTAAAACCTTACATATATCTCAATTGGATCCTTCTGTCCATGTCAGTTAATATTTTTCCTATATGCAACAAAAAGCTGTCTCATTAAATGCATGAACCATAGAAAATTTGATTGAAAATACTCCCTAACACATGGATTGCCACGGTTGATAAATGTGGGAAACATTAGAAATCTAATTTAAAATGTTTTCGGGATGCAATTGAATAGGGTAATAAGTTAGAAACCAAACTGACGTTTGGCAATACCTTTTTGTTCGTGAAAAATAAATTGCCAAATAATCTAAATCCTTTGTTGAAGTACATTATAATTGGTGCATTCTCAAAAAAAATAAAAAATAAAAAACTGACGGCAAGTTATTTGAAATCATTTTTTTAAAAAAAAATTCGCAGGCATGATGCAATCTGGTTGTATTAAGTTGACAAAAACTTCTTCTTGTTGGCTGTATGAATTTTTTCTTGTTTCTCAAGAATTAACCAATTCCAAGCTCTTCCCAATCTGACTAAATCATCAATTTTCTAAGCAAATATGAAATATTAGCTCTGCGTGTTTGTTCTAGTTTTGACTTCCCTGCAGGAAAGAGTGAAAGTTCAATGTGCTCCCCGCCATAAACAATAAACAACGCCCAAACATTCAAAAGCTAAGACATATTTCTTTACTTTAAATATACATTTAAAAGGTGAAGAGAAGATAAACAATTCCCACACAAGAAAGAGGAAAGCAGATTCTCCAACTCCAAAAAATGGCAGTGGCAGGTTTCTACAGGAGAGTGCTTCCTTCTCCTCCTGCAATTGAGTTCGCTTCTCCACAAGGCAAGGTACATCTTCCTTAATCCCTCTAAGTTTCTGAATTTTCTTGTTTGATTTGTGCTGGGGGTAATGTATCGTCCATCATGGAATTCTTCAGCAACTGTTCACTGAAGCACTTGAAGGAGGGACTATGAATTCATTTTTCAAATTAATATCTTACTATCAAACTCAATCAGAGCCTGCCTTCTGCGGACTTGCCAGCCTTGCCGTGGTCTTAAATGCCCTAGCAATAGATCCTGGAAGAACATGGAAAGGTAATAATAGTACGTGAATACCTCCCAATTTCAAATTGATAAAAATAATTGAAGAGATCCTGAGTCAAATGTTTTAGTAATTTTTTAACTTTTATATGATTTATCAGGCCCATGGAGATGGTTTGATGATTCAATGCTTGATTGTTGCGAACCCTTGGTTAAGATCAAAGAAAAAGGCATTACTTTTGGGAAAGTTGCTTGCTTGGCTCATTGCAATGGAGCTAAAGTTGAAGCTTTTAGGACAAATGAAATCACAGTTGATGGTTTCAGGAGATTTGTGGTTTCTTGTAATTCTTCAGAGGATTGTTATATCGTTTCATCGTATCACAGAAGGGCTTTTAAACAGGTGTGACAATAACATCTTTTTTAGTGCTAATTTTGGGGTTGTTTTTTCGTCATTTTGTTTGAGGAAATAAAAAAAGGTTTGATGTGTTATTGTTTTGAGGTTGCAGACTGGAAGTGGTCATTTCTCTCCAATTGGAGGCTACCATGCTGGAAAGGATATGGTTCTTATCTTGGATGTTGCTAGATTCAAATACCCACCTCACTGGGTTCCTCTTGAACTTCTTTGGGAGGCTATGAGTACTATTGATGAAGCAACAGGACATCATAGGGGGTATGCTTCTTGCTATTTTTAGATTCCATATACTGTATCAAAGTATAATTTTGTTGGTTCAGCCATCTTACTGTCTATGCTATAGCCGATAGTTTGGGCGGTACATTTTCTCTTGCTGTCTATACTTTTGACTTAATGCGTGCTTTATAATTCCCATATGTGATTGTATTTTCCGGTGCAAGTGCCAGGACATGCTCTCTTTTTTGTCCTGCCTACATGCGCTGCTCACTTATAAGTAACAAGAAGTAAGTTGATTGCCAAAAGAATTTTGCTATATTAGATCTTCACTCTCAGTGCAGATCTGAATTTAAATTGTTAAATTCCAAACCGGGGTCTTAATTACTTTGTTTGTTCAAGATAACTTGTCATCTTTGCACTTGTTGAGCGACTTTTTAATTACATAGAAACCTTGCGATTTAATGGTGATCTGTGAGCTAAACCTAATTATGCCATTTTTTTTGTATTACTTTTCAGGTTCATGATAATTTCAAGGCTTGACAAAGCACCATCTATTCTTTATACTTTGGTACTGTTTTTCTTGTCGGTTCTGTCACAAGCAACTTTGTTGTTGTGGCATTTCAGGGAAAATACTCTGTTAATTTTTGCTCCCTTGTATGCACTACTTTGGAGTAAGAAAAAATAATTGTGATCAATATCATAGTTTTTGACAAATGATTTATCTTAAGCACTTGAATGGATGTTAGATTGTCTGAAGCAAACAATCCCCTTTCCTTGATAAATTTCATGAATATTTGAGTTTTTCTTAAAAGTTTAATGTTTGTGATTGTTAAAGTCAGACAGACCAGGATCTTTTTGGAACTGTGATTCTTGGCTACAAGTGTTAAAGGTGAAAAACTAACTGTAAGCTGTGAGACAGGCTGTTTTGCTTGAGAGTAATCAATTTATACCACTGTATTCTTCTCACATGAAATACGGCATTCTTTGTTTCCATTTCCTGAGGCATAATTTGTTACTTGAGATGTGCTTCTATTGTCAATTTGTTATTGTCATTCTGCTTGCTATAAACCTTTTTTTGTCTGAAGACATAGTTAGTATATCTGCTTGCTGTTGTGGATTATCTGCAGAGCTGTAGGTATGAGGGTTGGAGCAGTGTTGCCAATTACTTGAGCACAGAAGTTCCCCGCCTTTTGAAATCAGAGGATGTAAAAGATGTAGACAAAGTACTCTCTGTTGTATTCAAATCACCACCTGCTGACCTCAGAGAGTTCATCAAATGGGTTGCAGAAGTTCGGAGACAGGATGATGGGGGCATAATCTTAAGTGAAGAAGAGAAAGGAAGGCTTTCCATCAAGGTTTTTAGATGACTTATATTCTCTGTTTTTCAAATCTTTGTTTCCCTCTTTTTCCTAAATCACCTCTCTTTGAAACTTGAAGTGGTTGAATATCCACCTTAAAGTTCATAGACCCACTTCTGTCACACGTTTTTCTTTAAACAAAAAGAAGAACCTTGGAAATAAAATCTTTCAGGTCTTTAAATTGTGAGATTTTGGTTTTCAGGAAGAGGTGTTGAAGCAAGTACAAGGGACTGAACTATTTAACTATGTGACCAGATGGTTGGTTCTCGAAATCTCAACATGTCAAGATGCAATTTCAGGTCATACAGGTGCACTGCCTGAAATTGCTGCAAATGTCTGCAGCCAAGGAGCAAAACTTTTGGCCGGGAAATTTAGTTCATTGGATTGTATGGGTTTCAAGAAAGAAGATGTGAAATTTCTAAAAAATGATGGTGAAAAGTCTGTAACAGTAGTGTCAGGAACTGTGTTCACTGATGGCACTGAACAAGGTGTTGACATGCTGGTTCCTTTATCTCAGACAAAGGCCAGTAGTTTGTGTGATCTATGTCAGAATGGTTGCTGTGGATTCCATCCATCTGCCGGAGATGTTTTAACAGTTCTCATATTTGCCCTACCTCAAAATACGTGGTCCAGTGTTAAAGATGAGAAACTGCATGCACAAATCATTCGTCTTGTGTCAATCGACAATCTCCCCCTTTGCTTCAAGAGGAGGTAACGTTTTGAATTAGCCTTTTTCTTTTTTCTTTTTGTTTCAGTTTGATTCTAGGTTGAACTGCTATCATTTCATTGATTTTTATTTCTTTTTCTGTTTTGTTTACAAAAATTAGATTCCGTACTGGGATGATCATGTAAGTAAGTTGGGACACACAACTGTTCATCTCTTAGGCTTCTAGATCTGCCTTTGGTATAAGCTCTAATTTCCTGGAAGTATGCCAATCCAGTATGCACAGATCCCCCAGTGATATGCTTCAGAATAGCAGTGTAGTTGATAATTTTTGTGTGTCAGATGTCGTACAGGGATTTGGCATCTAATTTTGCATATTTGGGGTTCCTAATTGATTTAAAGACTGGTGAAATAAATCGGATTACTGGTTCAGTTTGTTGGTGACTCTAGAAAACGCCATCTGATCCCAGGCCACATGATCTTTTATAGATAGAGTTGTTATTTAACACCTACACATATTTGGAAGAAGAAAAATGGTTTTATGAGATAGACTGGGAGTTAATGACTCCAAGCATGAACTGAAAGATACAAAACCTCAACATGAATTTTGAGATTATTTCTTCTTTCTAGGAAGTAGTTTCCAGTTTAAAGTCCCTAAAAATGAAAAATGGTTGAAAGCCAGGTGTGTGCTGACGTATGAGTTGAAGAAGCAAACCAGTATTAACTAGACCAGCCTGTTTTTCTCAAAAGGGTTTGTAATATTAATGTCATGTCATCTATTCAGCACTTCAGGTCCAAGGATGCTACATTTGAAGTTTCTTTTCCGAAGAAGAGATCTGCATATTTTAGGTTCTATTAATAGTTGCTAGAAGGGCAAAAGTCTGTGAAGTTGTCACTTGAAATTGAAGTGATGAAGATCATTACTATTGCACTCGCAAATGCTTATTTGAATTATTATTGGTTTGATGGCATAATTTGCCTTCAAACTATTGAGATTGTGGCAAAATAAGATTTATATTATATATATGGCTATTAGGACATCAAATTATTAATTTTTGAACAAATTTTATTCTTTCTCGTTGTGTCTAATGATCAAAGTGTTGACCGTTAATTAAAATGTTTAAAAAGCAATGTTTTAAGTGTTTTTTTTTTTTAAGAATTAAAAATAATTTTGAAAAAAAAATTAATAATTCAGTTTATTTTTCTTATTAGATGGATCCAATATGTATCATTAATTATCTAACAACAAAAATTAGATCAATAAACAATAAAATCATCTAAACTTTCTTAAACCTAACTATTATTAAATATTCTTTTCAAAATTAATTTTATTTCTGAAAAAAATAATTGAAATACTTAAAGCAATTTCGCATTTCAGTTAACAGTCAATGCCTTATTCGTCAGATATAATGAAGAAATTTGTCTAAAAATTGATAGTTTAAGGTTCAAATAGCTGAAATTGATATTATAGACTTATTTTGTCACAATTTTAATAGTTTAATAGTAAATTAGACCATTAATCCAATTATTATTAGTAGCATTCAAATTCCTCAGAAGCTTTTAGTTATGGTTTGGCTATGTTATTGTTTGAATACGTTACTGAACTTAATTTGAAAATAATTGTCTAGTGTTTGGTATATATAAAAAGTAAATGTGTTTTTCCTTCAACTGTAAAATATTTTCCATGATAAAAGAAGATATATTTAATATTTTACGCAAGTATATTCTGTGGGAAACAAACGTAACTATAGTCCTTTGTTTTTCTTGGTATAATCTTTTGCTTATTTGAAAACACCACTGTGTTACTTTTGTCTTGACAGGTTCTGCATCTGCGGCGGCAGCTCCATTTCCTTACAACCGATCTTGGCCTCACATCTGCATCATGACCTGTCCACCTTTCCTTTCTCTCTGATATCTTCCAGACAAGGTTCATACTGGCAATTTAAGCATTTAATAACAATGAATCGAAGGATTTATAAAAAAAAAAAAAATGAAAAGAAAAAAAAGAAGAAGAAGAAACTATATTATGTGAAAGAGAGTATAAATTTTCAAATTTAAATGGCTAATGAAATGATAAGGACAAAACTTAGCTTTTCGCTAAAAATAATACCAATGAACTAGATCATCACTTGAAGTGTTAGGAAAAAAAAAAATTCTCTTTTGTTTTCAACTATTTCTTGCTAGCTTAGCTCTTTATATTGAACCATTGATGCTTTTCATGTAGGATGACATCCTTGATAATGATTGTTCCAGTTGTGAAATTTATAGTATTAAGTTATAGAGACTAATGTGATAGGTCCTCCAGTTTAGGAGATTATACACATTATAAATAGAGATAACATCATTTGTATTTGTAATTGTCATTTGATAAAATCTTAATAAGAAATTCTAGTGCAGTCATAGATTAGAAACAATTGTCGAACCACGTAAATCTTTGTGTTGTGTAATTGTTCTTGTTTTTCTATTTTATTTTTTTACTTGATTCGTTTCCTAACATATAAGATAAGTGGTGAGGAAATGTTTTAAGCAAATAGTGGTTTTCAAATAAGAAAATGAGTAAGGAAAGAGCTTAAAAGAGGAAATGCTGATAATTTTTTTTTCTAAAGTATTTAGGCAGGTGGAGCATTAGGTACACTAAAAGATTTAAGAATGGAACTTTGCAAAGAAAAAGTTCTCAAAATCTATTTTTAGTATGTGGTTGACAAATGAGTCAAAAGTCCCAAAATAATGTGATAAGAGGATATGTATAGGAATGAATAAGGTGTCACGACCAATGAGGTGGTGACATTTGGCATCTAAAGATTAATTGTAAAAAGGAATGTTATAACCAATAAAATTGTGATATTTGTAGTGGTTTTGGTATTTAGGGTTATCCAAATATCCTGTGTAGGATATTGTTTTTACTCTCTTTATCAAAGAAGGTTAAAAAAACTTAGAAAATGACATTTCATAATGTTTAGAATTGATGCGAACTTGATGCAATTCCCTGTAGTTGTATTGCATCTTTTGTCATTGAAAGCTAATAGCATTCCCCTTTTTGTATAGGTGGATACAATAAGGTCCTTCTCTACATCAAAAGTCATGATATTCAGTCGAAATGCACAAAAAAAGCTTCATTGCGAGAAATGCATCTTCCTAGGACTCCTCCACTGCAATTGTGATATAAAATATTACTTATAATAAGGAAATTTTTAAGATTGGGTGAATCTGTTACTTATGGATTATTCAACCGGGATTTAATGGTGATATGCCAATTGAGATTATCTCTTTTTTCTTGAGACATTCCTTGTATCAGTACTGGAGAAGTTATACTAACGCTGGAGACTTTGAATGACTCTCTTTCTTCTTGAATGTAACTTCTCATTCTTGGGGAATTTGATAAACTTCTTCTTTCTTTAGAGATCGTAACACTATTGACACTGTAGCATGAAAAAAATGATAAAGGTTTTGTTCGTTGAGTCTTGCAGTTCTTGATTTGCCATTTATTTCTTTGTTCCTTCGCTCTCTTATCTTTTACTCTCATTGTAAGGCGTTAAAGTTGAAATACTCATTTCAGGTATCATTCTTGAAAGTGGCATTATCTTTATACAATCATTCTTTCCAGCTTTGTCGTTAAAATATTGAGGTGTGAAATTTATAGGGTAGGTTTAAGGAAATATTGTAAGCAGATAGTGCATTTAAAGTAGAAAAATGAGTAAGAAATCAAATTAGGAGAGAGAATGAAAACAACTTGGACAGGTAGTGCACTAGGTACACTAAAGAATTTAATTATGGACTGAGTTTTTATAGAGAAGTTGTAAAGCTCAATTTTAATGGGAAATTGACAAATGAGTCAAAAACCTGAATGAGGTGAGTCAGGTGACCAAGGAGGGTATATAAGCTTGTGACGTTTGACATTTAAAGATTGATTGTAAAAAGAAAAAAATGTTACAGGTTACAACCAATAAGATTGGGATATTTGCACTCCTTCTGATGGTTGAAGTTTATAACAGGTATCGTACGTAAGATCTTGATATTCGTAGTTCTTAACTACCCTTGAATTAATCTTCCCAAGCCACCTTTTCCCTTCACTTCTCATAATATTTTCTTTCTTTTCCACCCAGATATTCTTATCCCATATTAAAGATGTGATTAACCTTGTTTGAAGTAAAAATAACAAAGATTAATTCATCTCAACAATTACTATTTCAAAATTTGAACATTACGTATTAGTAAAAAATTTATCTAAAAATCAGCTCGCTTATTGTTAGACCAACAGCTTATTAGTTTTTGGTATGGAGAAGGAAAGAGGTATTAAAGGTTGGGTGCATCTTCATAATACTTTTTTATGATGAATAGAACCTGCTTGGATTGAAGGTTCATAAATAAGCCTTCATGACTAAGGATTGATTCATTATAAATCTAGTAAGTCCCAAAATGAGAGAAAAATACTCTACATAGTGTTAGCTCAAGGTGAGTCGACAGTATGAAAATATATTGAGGAGAAATAAAAAAAAAAAAATACATGAATTATATAAAAGAGTAGAAACAATCTTTATTTAAAGGGGACTTAGGGTGCACATCTAGTTTAAGCGAAGCTGCGCACCAACTCCTTTCTCTTGCTATTTTACTTCTTTAGGCCCATTTGATTATTTTTGTAGTTTATTAGACTAAGAAAAACTCATGGTCTCACAGTAATTAGATCCGATACAATAGGTATCCATTTATAAATTGGGCAATTCTTGATTTGGATTTTAATAATTAAGTTTTTTTTCCCCCCAAGTTAGCAGGTGATTGAAATATTTTAATAGAAGCAGTTATTTATTTATTTATTTTCAAAGAAATTCAAACCATTAATATCAAACGTTTCGGGATAAGTTGAGGAGAGTACCGGAATTCGCTATCTTAACATGTATTAAAAAATTCCAGCTTTTGCTCGACCCACTTGGAAACGAAGCGGTATCCCTAACCCAGATTGCCTTGATGAATTAAGTATTTTATATTGTTTGTTAAATTATCAATTTTATACGTCTTTTTGCACACGATAAATATATATTATACATAACTATGTTTAATTACAAAAACACTAAAAGAAAATCATCAGTTATTGTGCCTTTCACTACTGTAGACGAGTACCCAATATTAGTGTGGATTCCGACTCATTTACATGGTATATTTTCACTGTTTAGCCACAAAATTTCACTTTGGTCCTTCTATGTTAGAAACATTTTGTTCAATCCAGAACTTTTTTTTCATTCTAATCCTTGTATGCCCAGAAGAGAGAGAGGAATAAAGAAATAGTGAAAGGGGAATGAGAGAGAGAGAGAGAGAGAGGATGGATAAGGTCTATTCTGAATACTTTTGACTCTGAATACTTTTGACGATCAAAATTATTTTCAATTTATTCATTTTGGAGAAGATAATTTATTTGTAGTGGTTATAAATCATGAAACAATCAGAAGAAGAACATTAGAAGTTCAATTTTTTTTTTAGGTTTTTCATATTAATTTAAATTTTGATATATTTTGTGTGTATTATAACGAATTTTGAGATTATATAAATCTTATTTTTGTAATTTTGAGATTTGTTTCGAGCAAAAACAGACACTTTATTTGAGTTAGAAATGCTGAAAACCGATAACTTACATTTTTCCGACACGTTTTGTGGTCAGCTTGAGCTGGCTGAAAATTAAAGATGGATGACACGTTGTTTGTTGATCTTGGAGTGGATGACATGTTATTCATCTGCTATTTTGTTTTGTATTTTTTTTTTTTTTTTAACTTTGCCCCGTGCGGGCTTGGAACCAAGCCCAAGCGTACAGCCTGTGCTTTAGCTTCTGATGATTTATTTTGATATTTTATTGAGATTTTTTAGGTAAAAATTATGAAAGATCAACATTATTTTTTATATATCTCATGCAACCTTGCGAAGATGAAATATAAAAATTATTTTTTATTGAGATTTTTTATATAGATTTTCGAATATTTTTTAGAATGTTTTTTTTAATATTTTATAATGTATATCATGAATTCTTAGAATTTTTATATAATGGTCACATGATCATAAATATATGTTTAATGTAAAGGTTAGGAGTGCATTTCATATAATTTGTTTCTAAGTTTTTTTTAATATTTTTCTATTTGTACTTCACACTCTCAACCTAATAATTATAGTTATGATGTATAAAAAACATTAAATCATTGATTTTATCAAAAATTAACTATACATATATGCACACAACACCAAACATTTGCCGTTAGTTTTTTGTTTTTTTAATATCATAAAACTAATTTCTTTGAAAAAAAATAATTAAAATAATATTAAAAAACCAAATGATTCAAATATAGTTTTTTACACTAATATTATTAATCATTTTATGAATAAATATATACATATATAAAAATCAAATTTACATACTTTCAAAAAACATAATATTTTCATTAGCATTAGATAAAAAAGTTTTCATTTTCTAATAAAATCTTATGAAAAATATATTTTGATGGCATGTTTTTGAATTTTGGATAAAATTTTTAATTTATGCTAAAAAATTTTATTTAATGAATTTTTATTTTTTGAGTTGAAAGAAATATGAAAAACACAACAAATAAAATTAAATATAAAATTCTGATAAAAAAATTTATAATTTATAATTTTTTTTTTTACTTTTGATTCGATATATTTTAATGGAACTATTACGTAGTATGGATTATTAAATTAATATAGTTTTATTATGCATAATCCGTAGCACAAGTGATCAACTCGAATATCCTAGAAAATAAATAGAAGGCAAAGGTCCCAATATCCTGATCCTATGTCACATGGAGAGCATATGTGGTTATGAGGCTGGGCCTATGAGATAAGGAAGCCTTGTAGGGAAGAGTAAACGGAGCATTGTTCCTCCTCCTTCCAGATGGACGGTAAAGGGACAACGAAGGGTAAGATTCCTGCTTGTACATTGTTCCTCATTCTCAACCAATTGATTAGCCACACCTTTTTCTGAGGATTTATAGGCTAGAGTTTGGTTCGGTCATACTGTGTCCATAAGTTAAGCAGCCTTTGGTCCAATTTTTAAAACATTGAATGTTCCGAAACGTTTTCTGAATATTAGTTCATTTGAAAATTAATATTTGAATTTTTTTATTTTAGGCTTTATTTTTCTGATTTTTTTTTAAAAAAAATTTAGTCAATCTTATGATTTTCAGTTATTATTTTTCTATTCAAAACATTCAGTTCTTTGTATTTTAAGTGAAATTTTGCACATACATTAAAAACAAAAAAATTCAATCCATGTTTTTGAAAAGATTCTAGATTTTTTTCAAGATTCAGAAATATTTTTTATTTTTAAAATATAAAAAATATAAAAATTAAAAAATAACTCAGAATGATCTCAAAAATTTTTTTAGGAGGAGCCCTCGATAAATTTTATTATAAAATTATTTAAATGATCGTTTTTTTTTTTACAAAAACTAAAAGAAAGACTAAATCTTTTAAAAAATAAAATTTGGAAGAGTTCAAACTCAAAATTAAAAATTTAATAACTAATTTTTGAATAGACTAAAGTTCAAGAGAAGTTTATTCATTTAGCTCTTTTTAAAAGTAAAAACTTATGATAAAGACTTCACTTTTAAAAAAAATAAAAATCAAACAAGCTATTGAAAAAAAAACAGATAAGAATTGATCAAAGATAAGTATGCATTCTCCTACTTCTTTTGAGAAAAAAAACAAAAAATAAAAAGATTTAGACCAGGCTGGAGATTATGGACGAAGACTCAGTGTTATTATGCTCAGCCCTTTGGTCATCTCTGAGCCGTTCGATCTTCTTGTTCTTCATGTTGTTGTGCTCTTGGCCGTCGGATCTCCAATTTGTGTTTTGCAAATGGTTTTAATATTCCGCATGTATGCATTTTTGGTCTTTAAATGCATTGATTTTGGTCCTCTTTTGTTCTTTTTTCTTTTCTTTTTTGCTTTCATTTTTTTTTATCCTTATGAACCCTTTTCTTTCATCTTTATATTTTTTATTTACCTTTTAATGTGCAATTTTTTTTGGTCGAATTAAGCTCTTCGATCGTCGTTTTTGGTCCTCTGATTTTCTTCGCCTTCACTTTTAGTCCTCGCGAATCCCTTTATTTCGCCCTTATATTTTTCTTATATTTTTTTTCCTTTATGTTTTATGCTATTAAGTGAATTTTTCATTACGTTTTTGTCCTTTCTTTTTTCCCCTCTTTGCACTTCTATGTCTTTTTGTAACTTTTCAAATCCATTATGGAGAACATTTAATGTGCAATTTTGCTTTGCCAGACTAAGGTTTAATGCTAAAAATACCCCTAAATTATTGAGTCATGGCCATTTAAGATTCATACTATCAATTAGGCTATTTAGACCATAAATTATTATTTTTTTAGGCAAATGTGATCCTTTTTTTATAATCTCTAATGCTCAAAATATTAACCGTTAACTAAAACATGATTTAATGAAAAAATTTACCCTTAAACTATTGGGATTGTTGCAAGATAAGTTCTAATAAATTTGGATTATTTGAATCCTAAACTATTATTTTTTTACAAATTTTATTATTCTCTATTATTTTGATAGTCAAAATGTTGATCGTTAATCGAAATGCTTAAAACGACGTTGTTTTAAGCATTTCAAATTTATTCTAAAATTAAAATTAATTTTTAAAAAGAAATAATAATTTTTTTATGAGATGGATCCATTGCACATTATTAATTATCTAGCAATAAAAATACGATTTACCCTTGTTAGAATTTTTTAGATTGATATCCTCTATTCTTTTTTAACTTGATTGAAACTCTTTATTTTTAAAAATGTATTGATTCATACTTTTTTTTAATTATACATGACATGTTAAAATTAAAGATAATTAATTACAAATCACATGTGGCATAGTGGGCCTCAAGTCTCATACTCTCTATTCGCAAAAAAAAAAAAAAAGAAATATATATATATATATATATATATTTCTTTTTCTTTTTTTTGCGAATAGAGAGTATATATATATATATTCTTCTATTTTTTTGCGAATAGAGAGTGTATATATATATATATATATTTCTTTTTTTTTATTGCGAATAGAGAGTATATATATATCTTATCCCAACCCAATGATTCTTTTTTATTGTTAAGCCTTATTTCCATTATTTCAAGCCCATCCTCCCATTCTCTTTAGCTGAAAAATTATAATCCCTAAATCTCAAAAAAGAATAATATTTGCATCATAAGGATCCTAATCACGAAGTTACAGTGAACCGAAAACAACAAAAAGAGCAAAGTTGATCAAAAAAACAAAAATAATACTCCTCAACACCATATTTCAATTTTCAATTCTTCATTCATCATCCTCGCTACGCAACCCAGTAAGCATATTAGAAACAACAACATCAAGCTGAGCAGCTTGCTCCATAATCGCTTTCATCTTCCTCATTGACACATTATGTGCTATCTCAACACAGTAAATCCTGTTGTGCTTCTACATAAAGTAATTCACTTCCTTTTTGAGGAAATTCAGCACAAGAAGGGCTTGTTGGGTCCTTTGCATATCCTGCTTTGGCAGAAAATATATGGATGGATTCCTAAGATAAGTTTAGGAGAGCCTCTAATATTGCCTGAGTTCCCAGAGAAAATTGATGATGGGGATCTTCGTGGAGTTTTTCTTGTGTAACTTGTAGCACTATACTTTGCATCAGAATGAGAAGGCCTGTCAACACTTCTAGAAATAAATTCCAAGTCATTACTCGTCCTTGTAGAAACAGGAGTTCTCTCTTGTGGATTGAGTAACTCATTGGAAGGGGCACCCTTGAAGCCACTAGCATCCAGATGGCGAGGCACCTCAGAAACACAAATATGATCAAAGCCTGATGCATGATCACCTCTGCTCCTTTGGCCAGGAGTTACTAAGATATCTTTAGCATTGACAACGCTTGAGAGACCTTCAGGGTCACTCAAATTATGTGATATTTTCATCACTTCCCCAGTTTTGGGCATTTCAAAAGCCCCGGATGTTCTGGCTTTTAAATTCTGCGGACTCTTATTCGCATTTTCATAACTTGGTTGCTTCATACTGGTGCCTTCAGCTTCATCCACAGAATCTTTTGCCTCAGCTTCCAGCATCTCCAACTCATAGCCACTGTTCGAATAGAGAAATAGTTAAGCAGTAAATACACTAGATCCATGTGTTTGTACACGAAATGATAGTGAAGCAAACAAGCAAAGCTTAGAAAACCTCAACTTCCTAATTAATGCATCAGATGTCTATTTGTTTATTTCTTGCTTTCTTTCTTTCTTTCTTTCTTTTGGATAGGAAAAGCTAATATATCTCTTTTTTTCTACTAAAGCAATTCATTGAGATGCTTATATTGTGCGAGCATATAATGAGTTACAGATCTCAACCAAATAATAGCCAGCCATTCAATATTGGAAACAATATAGTCACAAGGTATAGGTATTTGTATGTGTTGGGAATGTACGTGATAAATAACTCCAAACTCAACATCTTGGGACGTAGGGTGCACATAAAGCTCAAGTAACAGTGTCCATAAAACGAAACGAAGAATCATGCCATCACATTCTACTCATGATTCTGAGGTGAGGAAATATCTAAATGAAAGAAACAAAAATACCTCAAACAATCTCAATGCAGCATTCATGACACTCCTTAATAGAATTCAAACTCCATAAGGAGGGTTAAAACAACACAAAGTTTCTTCTCTCTCGATATGCAGTTATGCACCAGTTGTTAATGAGTAAAAAGTGATGTTAAATTTGTCACATCAAATGCTGCTAAACCAACAAGTTAAAATGCCTCACCTCTCGTTATAATTATCTTCTAGAAGAAGCTCCTAATTTCTTAAGCTGCCGTAGAAGGATATTCATTCAATATGTAAGATGCTTATCTATTTCGAAGTGTAAAGAACTAAAAAAAACCAACTCAGAGGTCTGCCATTGAAAAAAGAAAAACTCACCAATCCTCCAACCAGCGATGGTTGACAAGCTTTATCTTCTTCATTTTATCAGCAAGCACATAGTTCTCGCCTAAACAAAGTGAAAACCTCTAATTATAATCTAGTCTAGCCAGGCACTCGCATTTTACCATAACAAAGTATGAAAAGCCCCATAGGAGCCAATGATAAAATAGCAGCAAGCACCAGTAAGATTATGATGTTCATAGGAATGCAAGTCAGTCAATTTATACCCCTTTCAATTTCTCTCGATTTCAATTAAAAAAAAAAAAAAACAAATAGCAAATAGCAATCAATTACAGTTGACTGTTAAAAATAATAAAAATTAAATAATTTAAATTATATTTATTTAATTTTTTATATTTTGGAATTTCAATGATGTAATTTGATGCTTCCGAGTCTAAAATTATAAAATTATAATATTTTAGAGGAAAAAAAGAAAAATACGGTAATACCTTCTCTAACGGGTCCAGCACGATCAATGCATGGGCCTAATTGCTAATCTCTAACGAAAGTAGGCACTCCTTGCACGCTCTCCCCAAATCAATATGAGGCAAGTAGCAAGTATGGATGTTTTTCTCACAATCCAAAGATGAACCATTGTTATTTTTAAATTAAACAGGTCAAATTTCTTATAAACTGTAGTTTAATTTCAAACTTAATCTTTCTTGATTTTATTTATTTATTTATTATTATTATTATTATTATTTGGGATTTAGTCTATTTCTAGATATCACCCCATCTAAAAATTTTAATTTTTAATATTTAAAATGAAATTTTGAACGCATATTAAAAAAAAAACATCTAATACATTTTTTTGAAAAAAATCTCTTTTTTTTAAAAAAAAGATTGTAAAGTATATTGTTTTATTTTCTTAATATTAAAAATGTAAAAAGTAAAAAAAAAAAATTCAAATAAATCTTTTTGAATGATTTACATCGTAAACCTATCATCATACACTTATTTATGTGACTATTATTTTTTATAAAAAAAATATAGAGTAAATCTTTAAAAAAAAAAATCAAGAGATGTCAAATTTGAAATTAAAGGTTCAGAAATTGATTTTTAAATAAATTAAAGTTTGGAAAAAATTTGACTCATCTAGCCTTATTTTTATACTAGTAAATATAAGAAAGAACTTACTAAAATTTAGAATGTTGTGATATGAATTCTATTTTTATCTACAAATTTAATATATCATGAACATTAGCAAAACATGCATATCCCAAAAAAAAGTGATATTGGGATTGAAAATTCAACAAGAAATATGTAACTACTGTGCATTATATTGTTAATTAATTTCAATTTAATGACGTTAATAGTATATAGGAAGAGCTACAACATTATATTTGTGTTAGGTGTTTTTTTTTTTTTTTTTTTTGCTCATAGTTTCCATCCGTACAAAAACTTTATATATGTTATTGCATTGTTAACTGTTTTTATTTTAGTTAACATTTTGAACCATAATCTTGAATTATTGGTTCGATGGTTAAAGAAATTTGTTATTTTTCTTAATTTTTCAAATTTAAACTTTAAAATAGCATTTAGAAAAATTTATGAAATTTATATATATGCACGATATGTAATATAAAAAACACATCCTTAATATTATTTTTTTAAAAAAAATCTTAATTGATGAAGTTGTTTTGAAAACATGTGTTACGTAGAATCCAAAAGATCTAGTCCACCATCAAAATTAACTACAATTACGTGTGGACCAGGGGCTTGCCAAACTTGTGCACTCTTTATTTCCAAAGTTCAAATATTGAATTTCCTGACTTTTTGTGCCAAATATTATAGGAAACTTTAGTTGAAAAAGGTGCCGCTAGAGGGTATGCCGGTTACCTTATGTTAGATGCTAAATAAACAAAATGAGTAAACTACATGAAAAACAAGTTATGCATATCTTATATTATTAGGAGAAGTATAAAACTAACCTAAATATTTCATCGCCTTAGTTGTGCTGAGATAATAAAAAGCTAAATATTCTATTTAAAAATTAATTTTTTAAATTTTGGATTTGACTTCTTTTGAATTTTATTTTTTTAAAAAAATTAATCTATTCTTTTGTTTTTTGTAAAAAAAATAAATAATAACAATCACATAAATAGTCTCATGATAAAAATCATTCGAGTAAGATTTATCCGGAGCTTTTAAAAAAATTTGAGATCATTTCTAATTTTTTTTTCAATTTTCTATATTTTTAATATTCAAACACACACACACACACACACACATATACATACCTTTTGATTTTGGAAAATTCTGAAAATTTTTCAAAAAATGAATTTGATTTTTTTTTTAATATATGTGTGAAATTACAGCTCAAAATACCAATACAAAATTCTCTAAAAGGAATGATGATTGGTAAAAATCATAAAATGAACTAAAATTTTCAAAAATAAATAAAAAATAAAGTTTAAGAAATTAGAACGTCAAAAATTGATTATGAAATGAACTAAAATTTGAGAGAAATTTGACCCGTTTAACTTTACATATTTAGAGTCAGATCATTTATTGGCAAGGATTTATAAAATCCAAAACCAGCTAAGTAAATCATTTGAGAAAAAATTAAAATATTGTTTGTTAATCGGGAATGTTGTGGTATGAATGGAAATGAGAGTTTTATTCTAATCTTATAGTTGTTTGGTTAAAAAGAATGAAGTGGGAATGAGAATGAAGAGTGGAATAAGAATAGAAATTATACACAACTCCATTCCCATTTAAAGTGTGGAAATAAGAATAAGAAATGAGAATGAATTTTTTTTCAAAATAATAATATATTATATTTATTTATTGTATATTAACTAATTACGCCACTACCATTACTTTTTTATTATTTTTACAACTATTATAGTTTGATTAAAAAAAAATTTAATCATTATTTTTTTGTATAAAAAATCAAATATTAAAAAATTTAAATTCCATTTCGATTTTTCATCGATATTTCAAACACAATATGAGAATGTAAATGTCATTCGATTTTCTAATTTTCATTTCAATTCTTATATTTTCATCCTAAACCTTTCATTTCCGATATCCAAATCACACCTAAAAAAATTCAAAATTAATAACTGGTTCGTTTCACCTTGTAGAAAGTCAAAACACAATAGCTATATTTTAATTTCTAATTTGACACAAATGTTTGGTAAAATCAGGTTGGCTTCTTATCTCTCTAACTTTTTTGAATACTAATCTCTTAAAATCTTCAATTTTTAAAAGCACGGCATTATCTGCTTCTTTTAAAAGCGGATCTACTACTACACTTATGGTTAATTTTTATTTTTATGCACCAAATCTATCGATTAACCTTCCAAATATTTACGGCATTGTTAATATATATAAACAAGTCATTTGTTTATCAAATAAATATACATAGGTTTTATAAAAAACCTATCTTTTTGTTTTTATTAGTTGGGATGTTTTGATCAAATGACAAAAAAAATATTTGTTTTTTCTTTGTTTCAGTTAATTTTAAACCCTTTTTTTTTCATATTACAATAATCACTCAAACCCTTTATATCGAAAATGCCCTTCATGTTTTTAAAAAGTTCTTATTGTTGAAGGCAATGATTTTGAAAATATTAAGTGCATTTTAAAGATAAATTTTGTAATATTTACTCAAACGCTAAAAGGATTTTTGTCAAACATTTTGAATGGTTTATAATATTTAATAATTTTTCTAAATGCATCTAGCCGGTATGAGAATTGCAAGTTGCGACTTAAAAATTGCTCGATTTAAAAGTTGCTTGATAAAAAACCTTGAGTATGATTAAGACATAAACTATTTCGATTGAAATATAAACTAGCATGAAAATATTTCTTATGGAAATGAAGATATTTCATTACGTTACGGTAGTAGTGCTATTAACATAACAAAATTGCATAGATTCTGTCGATCTATAAGACAAAAAACCAGCAAAGCGAATCATTTGAGAAACTAATGCTCCTGGTTTTCGTAAACGACGACTGTCGGTGAGGCTAAAACGTCATTGTCGATGAGTATGTGTGCGTGATAGCTAGCTATTTTATACTATAATATAAAATGGCAAGTAGAGCTAAAACTTAGAAAAAGACAAATTTATCAAATTTGAAATAAAATGCTGTCCTATCTTCTTCATTAATGCATTATTTGAAGAATTTCTCTTGTTACTCGTTTTCACCGTAAAGACGTTATAAGGAAAATATTTTTTCTGAAGAAAAAGTTTATTATATATAAACATATATAGTTAAAGATGTCTTGTCTATCAATAGAAGGAATAAGCTCCTTTATTGCAATAGTAATTTTTATGAAACCGATAGATTCAGAAAATTCTAGAATTTGCATTTTTGTTTTTTTAACATTTTTCACGGGTACCTCATGAAGTTGGATTCCAGTAGTGCTAGGATCCAATCAGAAATACGGAGATTAGCTAAAATCCAATCCGATCTTGCGGATTCCAGCTTAATTGATGTTGATCTGATTTGGATCCAAAGTTAAAATTTGAGTGGTTTTGTCTAGGGATTGAAAGATTTTGAAAAGCAGATGGATAGTGAAAACTGACGGGCTTGACTTTTTTCTCCTCTTAAATAGACAAAAGGAAAGGGAATCGGTCATGAGATTTAGGCCTTCGTCAAGTGGAACGAAATGTGTATTAATTAATTTTTTGAGAAAAAAATATAAGGTACTAAACGGACACACTTAACTGAGAGAAAAAAAAATGAATTGGATTATTTACTATAGTATTTACTCACACACAAGATACTAATTCTTTACTGTTTAGTCAATCTCATGTAACGTGCAGTGATATTTTTATAATTTTTAAATTATATTGAGTCATTTATATCTATGTTTTTTCTAATATTTTATTTTAGTTCTTGATGTTTTTAAAAATTTTATTTTGATTTTTAAGTTTATTTATGTCACAATTTGGTTCCTAAATATAGAGAGAATAGAAAGAAAGCCCCAATTGGTTCCAATTTTGACCTTTTTTGTTGTCGATCTTGCATTTATATTGTTTATCTTGATAATAAAAGTGTATTCATTGTGGTTTTAAGACATAAAATAATCAAAAGGGATAGAACAAAATCGAAAAAAATTGAATTTTTTAAATTTGATATATGTGTGTGCACGCACGCGCGTGTGCCGCGGGAGGGGGTAGCACGCATTGAAATCCTTTTTAATTTATTTTTTTTTGCTTTTTTTACCAAATTTTTAAAATTTTATT